ACCCTGGGTGCAGGTTGTGCTGACAGGGTACTGAGACCTGGTGGGGGAGAAGCTCGCTGCATCGACGAGGGAGACACCTCTGGCTGCAGCCAGGTGGCACACAGTGACTGTGTGTCCCTGTATCACCTCTCCCAGCTGCCCATCATGGCTTTGTCTTATCCTGGAGAGGAAGACATACTAAGGGCCGTGTCGGCACTGGATGAGCTCACTCTGGTTGGAATGCATTGCTGTGGAAAAGTGCCTTTTCCCCTGCTTTTCTGCCATGCATCCCGCCTTGCCTCTCCCGCGTGTGGGCAGGGCTGGGCATTTGTCTGAAGTGTGACAGTCTTATTACTGAGGCAAGGCAAATGCTCCATTCAGCCCCTGAGCAAACATCCCTCCTGTATAGCCCTGCCAGTGATGGATAAGTTGGGGAAGCCCTCAGACCACCCCCATCCCCCTTTGTGGGAACCTTGTGCTCTGTCCAGCTCCAATTTCACCCCTTTTATCCTTTCTTCTGCCCCTAGGAAACCTTTCATGGTGCTGCAGCTCAGCATCTCCTGGTCCCTTGTCAGGGTGGATGGTTGGGTGAAGCCCCCAGGTCTCGGGTGTGGGGTCTTGCATGTGAGGGTCACACAGGATCCTGTGTCAAACATGGGTGACAAAGGGGACCCCTCTCCAGCATAGGCATCACTCTGTGGTTGGAGAACATGCCAAGCTCCTGTCACATAGCAGCAGGGTGCCAACCCCTCCCCAGGGGCTGGACTCATTGTGCTGAAAGGCCTAGGCTGTGTTTCCTGCTGCTCTCCTGGATGAGGCTCTGAACCCACTAATTGGCTTAATTGCTCTGAGCAGCCTCACCCCAAGACCCACATCCATGGCCTGGGTTTTTGGAGGTAAAAACGGCAGATACCATCCCCTTACTCCCACCCTACCATTTGTCCTGGAAACTTGCCTCAGGCCCTTCTGCTTCTTCACTGCTCTCCTCCTCTTCCAGGCATGCCTGAAGTAGCTGCTGAATTTCCGTGGTCAAGGTTGCAGTATCTCCCAGTGCTCCATCACTACCCGACTGGAGACACTAGAGTCTCCCCCAGCTTCTCAGGGCTCTTTCCCCATCACCTACCTGCCCTTTTCCCTGGCCAGGATAAGAATTTAGCCATCCCAACCTTGCTTCTTGCTGCAGATGAGTAGTGACTGCAGGGGGTTTGCAGCCTCCAGGGGGGTCCTGTTGGCTGGTGGCACCCTCACCTCCCCCGGAACACACAGTGGGGTGGCCGTGCCTTTGTCCCACGGGGTGCAATGCTCATCTGTCTCCTTGCTCTGGGGTCACCCGAAGTCCCTCTGGATGGTTTCTTGTCCCTTTCCCAGTCGGGGGTGCCAGGGGCCTCTCCTGCCTGTCAGCTCAGCACTGCTCAGACTGGTTTAGCAAGTGGATGGGGGTGGCCACTTTTTCTTTGAAGGGCTCCCGGGAAGGATTTGATGCCTGGAAACCTCCCGACGAGGAGAAAGGAAAAGACAAAAATAGGTGGTTTTGGGTTTCGGTGGAGGAGCAGGGGAGGTGCAGGGTTGCTTCAGCAGCTTTGCAGACCTTTGTCTGCTCATCGTGGTGAAAAGCAAGCAGGGGGATCTCCCCCTTCCCTGGTGTCTCCCGGAGGAATCCCGACCAGCACCCAGGCTGAACCAGGAGCTCCTGACCAAAACCGGGGGTGGCCTTGCCCCAGGGAGGCAGAGTCAGAGAGGACTTTGGGATGTCCACCACGGCGCAGCGAGAGGTGGGTGCTCCAGCCACCGTTTTGGGGGTAGGAGGGTGAGTTTGGTGGTGGCAGCAGGGTTAGGAAGAGCTGCTGCAGGAGGAAAGCAGGGCTCAGGGACTCCTAGCCAGGGCCTGGCCCCTTCTGCCCCATGTGCTTGCCCCTACCTCATTGGAGGGATGAGCTGTGGGACCCCAGGCAGGAATGGGACAATGGGACTGTGACTGTGCTGCTGGGCTGTCACCTGTGTGGTTGGCACTTGGGGCTCCCTTGGGACTGAGCCCAGGGGTGCAGTCTGAGGATGGGTGTGAGCCCCTGAGGCTCAGTCAGGGCTATTAGGGACAGGCTGGGGGTGCCTCTGGCTACCAGCAGTGCCTAGGGTAATTTGAGGGATAGGAGCTGAGTTTTTCTTCCCAACTTGTTCCAGATTTCCTCAAAATTTGGCACTTTTCTTGCCTTTTAGCTCAAGCCTTTATAATCCAGAGCTTCATCTCCTGATTCCTGCTCTCTCTGCTTGCTGGTGAGAGGAGGACCTAGGTGTCCTTCCTCACCATTCCCATGAACCCTGAGTACTCGATCCCCACCCAGTGCTGGGATCAGGGATGAAGATCTGTCTCCCCAGTTCTCCCCCACTGACCACCATCAGCCCCATCCTTTCTTTGTATTGCAGATCTCCAGCCCTTGGGTTGAGACCTCCTTCAGCTCTGCTGTGGACCCTCCATGATCCCCTTTACAGGGTTTCCCTTCCCTAAGCCCCTGTCTGCATCTCTGTATTGGCTCTTCCCTGCAGAAGGGAATTCTGTATGGAATGACAGAAGAAAACAAGAGGAATGTTGGGAGGAAAGTTGTGTAGCTGGGTCACGGGAGAGCTGCTGTTATCGCTGTACAAGATGTGCCGTCCTCAATGTCGCGTGGCAAGAGAGGCCGCAGAGGGACCTCAGCAGAGGGACCTCAACAGAGGGACCTCAGCGCCGCGCTGGCGGGGTGTGCCTGCCCGCAGGGGCTGAGGAGCAAAGGGCCGGGTGGTAGTGATAGACTCAAGGCTGTTTGTCTGCCCGGAGGGCTGGTGCCAGATAAGGGCTGTGGTGGCTTCGGCCCATCTCTGAAAGAAGAAGCCGCTCCACCTTGGGGAAATCATGGCCAGGTTAATTTCCGCTGGGCAGACGCAGCCCTGCATGTGCCCTGCTGCCAGGCGTGGGGTTCATCCAGCCCAGGTGCTGCATCCCATGCTCTGGTGTTGGGATGGAGAGAAAAGGAGCTTCTGATTTGTATATTTTATCACAGAATGGTTTGGGTTGGAAGGGACTTTAAAGCTCATCTCATCCCACTCCCCTGCCATGGGTAGGGACACCTTTCACTAACCCAGGTTGCTCCAAGCCCTATCCAACCTGGCCTGGGAACACTACCAGGAATGGGGCAGCCATAGCTTCTCTGGGCAACCTGTGCCAGAGCCTCACCACCCTCATTGTAGGAAGCTTCTTCCTCCTTTCCATGTGTGGTCCGTGGCTTGGTGGGGGGACATCCCCATCTCCCTGGCATCACCTGGGAGTCCTGTGGTGTGCTCCAGCAGCAGTACAGCTTCCCTGGAAAGCAAAACCTTGCAGGGTTTCTGGCAAGGCCTGAGCTGTGTTTGCTTTTCCAAGCGCTCACATGCTCTGCTCTCTGGGATGCTCAGCCCCCCTCACCTGATGCATTTTGGACCCAGGCATGGGGGATGGCAGCTGTGAGACACCAAACCTCTGCCATGGCTCTTCTGGCATTGTTTGAGTGATCATAGGCCTCGTGTGGCTGTTGTGAAGTCCCTGTGGCCCCTGGGAGTGGCAGGAACCCCATGGGAACAGGCTTTCCCCATCCCTGTGAGGAGCCCAGATCCCTTCCCTTTGGCCAGGGGGATTCAGCAACCCTAGACCACCCTCTGCTGCTGGCCCCCAAGTTTCTGTGGTCCTTGAGTCCCCTGAAGATATTAGGCTGTTCCTGACAGGGATGACAGCAGCAGACCTCCTGCAAGGGCACAGTCTGTGTGGGTTCCTGCCCAGGAGACACAGGGAAGTGGAGAAGGATGGTCCTGGGTCTGATTTGTGATGGGGAAGCAGAGACTGGGTTTTTACTGAGCCTGGCACAGTGCAGCTCCTTGGAAAGGGGCCGGGGACAGTCCAGGCTGGATGTGTCCAGAGGAAAATGGCATTTTCTTTCCTTTGCCGGAAAGGTGATTTTTATTCACTTATTGCTCCAGATATTTACACTCCTTCCTCTCAGAAAGTGAAACCCAAACACAGTTGCTCAGTTTCTCTGTAGGAATGGTGCTGGAGAGCCCTGTGTCCTCCTACCTGTCTGGGCCTTTCCAACATTTCTTTTGCTGTTGCTGGTGGATTTTTTCCCACCAAGGTTTATCCCTTTCCCCTTTAGTTAATCTGTTTATTTTTGATCCTTCCCTTTTTCTCCCCTGGGAATCCCAATTGCCAGCAAGCAGGAATCTCCTCTCTAAAAAATCAGTTTGTGTTCAAAAATCAACTATTCATACCAAACTGGCATTTTCTCATTAAAAATAGCCATAGCTATAAAAAACGTACATAACCCCCTTGTTTCAATGTAGGGGATTTGATCTGGGGGGTAGTGTCCCAGCTGGGGAGGGGTTTGACCCTTGGGGTTGGGGACCAAATCCCCCCACCCTGGTGGTGCTGGAGCTGCCCAGGCACTGTGGCAGAGCATGGCTAGTGGCAAGGCTCTCGGATGGGGACTGAGTCTGGGGGTGCCAGAGCTTCCCGAGCATTGTTTCGGGGCACAGCTGATGGTGAGGCTCCTGGCTAGGCTCAGGGTTAGGAACTGAGTCTGGTGGTGCCAGAGCTTCTCGAGCACTGTTTTGGGGCACAGCTGATGGTGAGGCTCTCAGGGCTGGGGACTGAGTGCTGGAGCTGCATCAGAGCACGGCTGCTGGTGAGGCTCCTGGCCACCCTCTCGGCCTTTTATATGCTGGTGGCCCAGTGGAGCTGCCGGCGGGGCCATCACCGGGAGCCTGATTGGCTCTGCACTGCCTCACTGCTGCTTCCAGGTTGGCGTTCCTCCTCCCGCAGCTCAGGTAAAGCCTTCCCGCGACCCGGCACCTGGCCTCCCACGATTAGCAACTCGCTCCAGCTCGCCTCTGCCTTCAGGTTTTGGGTTTTTTTTCCCTTTCCCCTCCCCTTCCTTGTTTTCCTTGCCCATTTTTAAAATATTATTTGGAAATCAGAGTTGTTTCCCCTCGGGGGCACGGGCACAAGGGGTGCAGGAGGAATGAGCAGCGGGCTGGTGCTGCGCACCCCACTGCCCGAGGACGCCTCGGTGTTCACGCCGCTGAAGCCTGTCAGCATGTCGGGGGAACCTAGTGAAGACACCCCTGTCTTTGAGGACATCAAGCCCCCCATCCGGCCCCTGGAGAACCCGCCTGACCTGGCGCAGGTAAGGCGGAGGGCAGCGGGAAGGGACCAGCTTCGCCTTGTGGAGGCTGCGGGAACCCCTGGAACCGCCAACCCCGCCTGGATTTGGGCTTAATTGTGCTTTGTTTTTCCGCTCTTTGAAACACCTCCGTGGCTTTGTCCGCTTCTCCCTCCGCCAGATTTTCTCTTGGGCGTGTTGGGTTTCATTTGGGTGTTGTTCTTTTTTTTCCTCCTGCCTTTCCTCGAAATGCCCGTTTGGGAGGAGAGCCTGGGTGTGCTCCCTGCTCCTGAGGCTCAGTCCCTCTGCCCAAGTGAGGGGGTCCCAG